ACCTTATTTAACATATATTTTGAGAAAGAAAGTAAGCAGTAACCTGAATCTTGTATGCTTACATTTTTTTTTTTTAATCGGTAGTGGTTTATTCCTATATTTTTTAAGGCTGTATACATTGTAGAAAGCAAACCCTGTAGACAGCAATCATCCATTTTTTTTTATCCTGTTTCTGTCCTTTGTGTGTTTGTTTTTTGTGTCAAAGATCCCCTTGAAAACTAGTTTTTTTCATCCCAAGGAGCTATCCCTTCAAAAAAAATTAATATAGATCAGACATTATAGTTAAAAATTGCTGATAAAATAAAGTATAGGTATTTATGGCTATAATCTCCCTTAGGGGTGGACAATAATTCAATATCATTGCATATCATTATATAATTATATTTTATAAAAAAAGAAATATATTTTGATAGAAATTTAGTCTAGGCCTAATCCCCCAATTCAGATGCATTAGAAAAAAAAAAAATACATTTTAGAGACTACCATACTGCAAAATTTTCTAATCATACACAAAAAAAATGAAGTTGAAAAGAAGTTGGTTCGTTGTTAGGGTAATTGGCCAACCTAAATTATCCTTTGATATAAGTTTTTTAAATGTATATTTCATTATTTGTTTTCCCATTAATTATTTTATGCACATTTTGTAGTGTTGTATAAGACAAGGTTAATGGAATTTACAATATTTTAAAAAACATGGATTTTAAGAAAATACATTTTGACCCTCTTTGCTTTTTTAATCAGATTTTGTGGTCCATGCTAGTATGCCAAATACTTAATGTTTTTTACATGGCTGCGCTACCTCAAGCTCTGATGGAATTATGGTTTAGGTAGCTTTGTTAAATCAATCTGAAATATGATTAATTTTTTTCGCTTTTTTATTGCTGTGAAATTTCAAAACTTTGCTTAAGATTTGCATACGGATTTAATGAAAGCAGACAAGGTGAGACAAGTATATTTATATAGCACAACTTAATACAAAACAATTCAAAGTGCATGAATCAAATGAATAAAACAATTAAATACAATGAAAGTAAAAGCAGAGTAAAAGAAAGTAAAGATAAAAACATGATTAAAGAAGGCTGTAAAGCAAAAAAAAAAAAGCAGTTGGACCACAAACAAACTAATTATACCTGAGTTAACAGCAGTCAAAGGCAGTTTTAAACAAATGGGTTTTTAACTTTGACTTTAAATAGATTGTTCAAGATAAGTGGAGCATACAAACTAAATGCTGCTTCTCCATGTTTGGTTCTAGTTCTGGATGTAAAGAGTAGGCTTGACCTAGAAGACCCAAGTGGTCTGGGAGGTTGATGACAATAAATCTGTTGTCAATAAGTCTCAATGATTTATTGACAACAGAGGGATTTTAAAGTCTATTATCTGAGCTACAGGCAGCCAGTGGATTGACTTCAGCAGGCTGATGGGTTCTACTGTTTTAGATCTAGTGGGAACACGAGCAGTAGTGTTTTTGATCAGCTGCAGCCGTCTGATGAACTTTTTTGGCAAAACCTATAAAAACACTGAAATGACATATTCAAATGTCGTTTCAGAGTGTTTTTGTTGTGCTTTTGATTTGTAAATACAAGAACTGACCAAGCAAGGAAATGCTAACCAGCATGATAGTTTGGAGAGTTACTGTGCTTCGCTCTTGACAAGAGAGTAGATTACTGATGGAAGGATAGAACCTGGATAAGGCCATATATCAAGCACTTATTTGCTTTTGTGCAAACTTTAGCAAACATTGTTTCTTTTTCTCCCCTTCTGAAATAAAACTGCAAGGTGTACTAAGCTAAAACCATAAATTTTCTGGGAGAAAACCCAACTCAGACTGTGGTCTATAACATTCCAATCAAAACATGGTTGACCATATTTGTTGTTGTTTTTTTTTTTTTTGTTTTTTTTTTCAAAGTGCTGCACTCACTAAAGTTGTAATGGGACTTAATGGGATCAATTGCCTTTTTTTTCTTACTATATTTACAGACCTTACAGGCACATTGTACTGGTCACCATATGGTAAAGTTCTGTTCTTTGAGTTGGGGTTAGGTTTATGACTAAGGTATGAATTCAGTTTGGGTTAGGGTTAGGTATGTTCGAGTAATAGTTAGGGTTAAGGTATGGATCTGGGTTCGGCCATATAGAATTAATGCAAGTCAATGAAATGTCTCCATATGTCATGACAACAAAGCTGTGTGTGTTTTAGTGTTGGGGACATTTTATACCCTGCAGCATTTCCAATTTATTTATCAAACTGTCAGTAAAGCACACAAGGCTGCACTCTGCTGGCAACCAATGTTTTTAACACCCATATCCTGTGTTGTAAATTATTTCATTGCCTTCAAAGAAAGGCTTGGAAAGGCCTGCAAAGCAGATTTTTTAATATCTCACCTATTTGCAAGAAACCAGTGGGATGTCAGAACATAATGAAAATGACAGTTTCAATCAGTGGAGTCACGTTCAAGATTGCAATTTCCAAAGCATCCATTTGTAAAAGTGTTGAATAAACTCTTCACTGTAAGCTGAGGAAGATAAAACAGCATAGCAACTGTCTGTTAATGACAGTTAGGTAGTAAGTGTGCTCTGGGTACAATGTTCAGAGATAGAAGCCACTTAGCTTGATTAGCATGATTAGCCGGGCCAGTCTGATTTGATTAGAGTCATGCTCTTTCTGATTAACTCATTATTCAAATAGAGTTTAATTGCAAATTAAGATAGACAGCCAGCCACTATGTTGAAAGCTTGTGCTTTTGTATAAACAGTTATCTTAACCAGAGTGGTGCACAATATGACATCATAGAAGATCCAGGAAAAAAGGACATTAGGAGAAAAATGCCAAAAAAAAATGTCATTAAATTATCTGATATCGTGAAACAACTTGACATGATTTTTTAAAAATGATTTTCATGGCACGTTTCCATAGATTCTGTGTGTGTGTATTGTCTACTTTGTTATATATTCACCAGCATTTACTCTGCACAATTATATTTATTCTGACCCTTCATTAAATTGAATGAAGTGATAGATTTTGATAAAGTGACAGAGGAACTAAAAAAGTTATTTGTGCTTCAATCCGAACACACAATTTAAACAGTCTGATCACTTTGCCTTTGTGTCTCATGGTAAAGACTTCTGACTAAAGGAGTTAATCACTTGTTTGTCCATGGATCTCTGCCTGATGAGACAAACCAGGGTTAGTTTGAATCCCTTACTAAGCTCTGGCTGGACTGAAAGGGGTAGTAATGCCATAATAACACAGCTGGTGTAACCACAATTATATAACAACTAACAATCTCTTGCACAGGACAGCTGAACACTATCTGGATATGGATGCTGTGTGTGTTTGTGCATTTGTTCTTATGGCCTTTTCGTGTAACACATGACCCACCACACACACATACACACCCCAGCATGCACAATCACACACATGATGATTATATAAAGCATTTTGGCTTGACTTGGCATGTCAATGAAAACACCAGACTGGACACAGCTGACTGGTTGGATTTGTCGTTTTACAAGTGACCTGCACACACACTCACAGAAACAGACTGAAACAATATTTTTACAGTTGTGAAGGGGTCATATAAGGTTTCTGAAATGCAATGGAGAATTAAAAGTTAAGTAGGTTTCTGTCAGGGATTTTTAACCTGCATTACTGCCAACTAAGGTGACTTAGCACAAATTTTAACAGCTGATTTATAATGTCATTATGTGGTAGTTACTAGCAAATAATCAGTTAGCACATTAAAGTGACTGCAATACACCTGCAATGTAAGCTTGAAGCGCTATAAAGAAGAGGTTCCTAAAGCTGGGGGTCAGGACCCCACTGTGGGTCACAAATCAACAAATGCAGAGTATTTGATTTTGTTTAAAAATAGGCGTAATGATAATGGTGAAACAATGGTTTGCTATAAATATTAAAATCTGAAAAAAATGTTTTGAATTGGTGTCACAAAGCAATAGCCAGACGCATATGTTTGGGAACTATTGTACTAAAAGTGAGGAACATACATTTAATAGCAACATTTCTAATAAGCATATATATAATAAAAGAAATCATAAAACTTAAAAAATATATGTAAAGTACATTCTTAATAAATAATAAAAGTACAAAATATTTTGTGTATTTCTAAAAGCCTTGTACTACCTGTGATTGTAAAACATAATTTTTACTACTTTTTTTTGTTATTTTCAAATATAATTATTATTTTTCATTTTATTTTGTGTTCTTTTTGATCCATTTGTTTGTGTGTGTTATTGTTTTAGCTGTTTACATCAAACACGGCCTGAAAAAGTCATTTGTATTCAGTATTTTATGTAGTTCAACTGTGTTTGAAGATCTTAGAGATTTTGTTTTTTTAGGCCTATACTATAATCTTACATTGGTATTTGTTTGTTCTTGTCCCCATTTACTTGTGAGGGGTTAAAATGTTTTGTGTCCCACAGAAAGGAAATCAAAAGATGTATTATTGTAGCAAAAAGCAAAACATTTTCATGTCATAAAATAAAATGCTGCTGAATATTTGTTTTTATCGGTTTTTTTTTTTTTCACCTTCAGGGCTCCATATTTTATTTCAGAAAATGTAGGCCTTATTTTTTAAATTATTATTTCATTACAGAACCCTAATCCCAATGAATCATTGTAACATGTGTCCAAATGAGTTAAAATATATGTTTTTCTTACTCAGTTTTTTGGCAAACACATAGAGATAATAGCAGCTGCCAACTTGTACTACTCCCACTCTGTGTGAGTGAACTCTACTACTTAGCCATGCCCCCCTGAACTTCCCCCCTACTTCTGCAGTCAAATCTGTACATTTGTCTTTTCTTTTTTTATTTATTTCTGTGTATTTTGCTTGTTTGCTTCCATCTTTTGAATTCATTATTGTTTTTTTCAACTGGCAACTTGCTCCTCCCACCATAACTATAATCCCTACAAACCCACCACACCCACCCCCCTCTGTTGCCATGTGTGATCAAGCATCCAGTCTGTTTGTCACACACTTTGGACAGAGGGGGAGATACACATGGATTGAGATGATGTGTGTATGTTTGGGAGAGAGAGATCAAACAGAGGAGAGATCAGGGAGCAGAACCGGGTGATGTGTGGAACAGATTAATGGAAAGGGGCTGATGCTGCTGTCGCTATGATACACATTTATACTTTGACGTTAGTCTGAACTGTCCATTTAGTTAATAACCCTGTTTGGTGCAGTTTTAGTGGTTTATTTTGTAGCCTTTTTTATTTTTGACTGCAATGAAAGAGGTTTAGTTCTTAGTCATACTGGCTATTTTTATTGTGGTATGTAGCGGAGGACTAGAGCTGCAACCGATGAACCTAAGAGGACAGAAAGCAGGAGGACTTGAAGTAAAGCAGTGGAATAATAGGATTGACACGTCTTTTGCAAATATGAAGTGAAAAGGCAACATTCTGAACTTTAAAAGCTTGTGTGTTTTATTATTATTATTATTTTTTTTTTATGTGCGTACAGAGCTCAGGCCGTTGCTAAAATCATTTGTTTTATTCTTTCCTTTGCGAGTCTGGCAAAACTAGGATTGTAAAACTAGGGAATCAGGAGCTAAGATGAGACCAAGAATTGTGTGCAGCGTGGAAAAAAGATGTACATATACATTTTAAAACATTTCTAGAATTTCACCTTACTTAAAAACATACCTTAGAAATACTACCTTCGCTGTACAATGTAGACATATAAGGTATAGTGTTAAAATGTTTGTATTGCAGCTCTAAGTTGCTAAAAAGCAGTTTATGGCAATATTTTTTTAAGTACATAGTGTGGTTTTCCAGTGTGGTACGTAGTACTGTCCACTATAAGGGCTGTGCAGTATGTCATGCGGTGTACGCAGTCGCTCCATGGTGGTAATCCATAGCAGATGTACTCAACATGCTGTACCAAAACCTGAGACGAGTAAGTTGTTATTGTTGCTTTATCTTTGGGTTTCTCACTAGTTGTAACAGGGTTTTATTTTAAAATCACTGAGAATGTAATTAATAAATGACTCTTTCCTGTTTTTGCAGGCCAACCCCCCTCCAGTGGTGGTCAATACCGACAGCGTAGACACCCCCCCATATGTAAGTATTGCTTAAACTACACTGATTAGTGAACAGCGTCCTTTTAGTGGTTAGTTCTAGATAAGAATTATGTCTCTTTTTGGGTAATTATTGAGAAAAGCCAAGAACTGATGAATCATTTTAAAGATACTAGTGTTTTTTATGTTGTTTGTGTAGTTAATTATTGGTTTTGGACATAAGAATAAACCTATATGCAGCTTAAATTTGTTTATTGATTAAAAATCAGCCTGTTTAAGATTAAGATCTACATGTAGGTTGCTATACAGCATGTACATATACAATTTTATCTTAAAAACCTTTTACTTCCACTTCATCTCTGTTTAAAAAATAAAATCTCATGTTGAAATTTTTGCTTGTTTTTCGACACTCAATTTTAAAGGCATGTAGTAATAAAAAGGAAAAAAAATGCAAAACCTGTATTTCCCACGAATAATTACTGTCATAGTATAATAATTAATTTTAAAATGTCTGAAAGATTATTTATTGTCTTTAATTTTTAAGAATTCAGTTAATCTTTTAAAGGAACAACTTTCTCCACATTAAGATTAATTTGCCCTTATACTTGTTTTCTATATAATCTGGGATTACTCAGTCTATTTCCCAAAGAATGAAAAACAAAGTAAAAAAAAATCTTTTAGCACCACTTCGAAAGTCTAGTTCCAAAGGTTCGAAGAGAATGTTTTCTGAGCCTGAAAAATCTTTTTAAGGATATAGAATATGCAAGAGTGGTTTTCCTACATTTATGTGCTGCCTTTTGATGTGGAAATACAGTTTAAATGTCATTAGAGCTTGTTTTATGGCAAACGCAAGCCTGAATTCAGAAGCATTGGATAAAAAAGAAAAGTCTTATTTTTAACACAATATTCTACCCTTCAGAAAGAGAAGGACTTGCAAGCTTTAAAAACCATCCATATAAAGATGCCCATGACAGGAAAACAATAAAAATGTCAGCCCCACTGTTGTATCAAACACAGAGTTTAAAGCTTCTGCTCCTGCAATTAAATATCTATAATGAATGTTAGCATATATGTCCAGTAAATGTGTGCTTTAAAGGCTGCAGCATCCTATTTAAACAGAACTCTCAATCCAGAATTAGATAAATCCAGATGTCCTCATAATGTTGACCAGCTGCTGCAGGGAATCAATGTGGTTTTGTTAGATAATTTTATTATGTAATTACTGTGGAACTGCTCCCTGCTGGACTGAATCTGTAAGAAATTTCAATTAGGGACGGATTCCCTTGACATTCAGATAACTCCCTTAATCACTGAATGATATTAAGGACTGTCCGTTGCTTGCTTTTTTATTGTTTCTGATAAAGTTCATTACCTAGTTCCAAAAAAAAAAAATTGAATATCTAAGCAATTTCAGTGCTGGTTTAGGAGTAAAGCAGGATCATGTAACCGTTGTTTGTTCAAATAATTGAGTTACACTTTTTATGCTGCAATGCTCAGTCAAAAGGGAGGAGGAGCATTTCTGTGGATGAGAATAGACTCACAACACATGGCATTTTAAGGGAGACTGTTTAAAATAGCAAATATTCAAAATCTAAAGTAATCTGACTGCACAAAGACACAGATTACAGACAGGCGGATTACATTGGCCCCTGGGGCGCCAGTCGACCACTGTATCTCTGTGTGGCTGTTTGATCTAGTGCATGCAGCAACTGCATCTACAAAAATGTAGTACCACCTAGAGAGTGTCTGAGAAGAAATATCTGTGTGCTTCTAATTCAGTTCAAAAGTCTGTGCACCCCTTCCTCATTGTCTATAGTTCCTTATCTGTGCATGGCCATGGGGGCTGGGGCCTATCATGATGGTCATTGACAAATAGACACAACAGATTTTAAAGACAACACTTTTGAATGTGACATCAGAGATGCATCATCAGAAGCTGCGCATTAGGATTTTAATCTTCTGGATATGTCATTCATAAATATTATCCACTTTGATTTTGTATTATATGTTGTGTGATTTTTGTCGTTATATAAACAGGTTGATTAAGTAATAGTACACTATTTTAATGTTAGTGTTTCATTTTAGTTTACCTATATAGAATCAATATACTTATTGTATAGATATAAAACAAAAGCAGAGCAAGTTTATTTATATAACACAATTCAGTACATGGGCAATTCAAAGTGCTTTACATGAACTAAACAATAAAATAGAAGATAAATAAAACCAGAGTAAACGCAGATGATGATAAAAACATGATAAAAGCAGGTAAAACAAAACAGTTTGACCACAACCTTAAGCAAATAATACCTCAGTTAACAGTTAACTTCAACAGTCAAAGGGAGCTCTAAACAAATGCGTTTTTAACATTGACTCCAAATAATGTAGGCTTTCACCACTTTTAAAAATATTCTGCAAGTTTGTTCCAGACAACATCACAGAAATGGAATGCTCCTTTTCTGTGTTTGGTTCTAGTTCCAGTGTAGGCTTGAACTAGAAGACCTGAGTGGTCTGGGAGGTTGATACACTGACAACAAATCTGACATGTATTGAGGTGCAGATCCATTAAGTGATTTATAGACTATCAGAAGGATTTTAAAGTCTATTCTCTGAGCTACAGGGAGCCAGTGAATGGATTGCAGAACTGGGCTGATGTGCTCTACTTTCTTAGTTCTAGTGAGGACAGTTGCAGCAGTGTTTTGGATCAGCTGCAGGTGTCTCATGGACATTTTAGGCAAACCTATGAAGATAAATGCATGATTGAGTTTTTCTAGTTCTTGCTTGGACATTAGTTCTTTACTTAGTCCATTGTGACACCAATATTTTTGCCATTATCAGTGCTTTCTATCTGTAGTAGCTGAAACTGTGGGCTAACAATGGATCTCTCCTTTTTTGGTTGGAAATTATTACATCAGTTTTGTTTTTATTCAATTGAAAAAATTATGGAGCATCCACATATCTGTACTAAGCATCCAGCCAATGCCCTGATGGATTCATAGTCACCTGGCAGACATGGGCAATGTGGAGTCAACAAGTCATCTCCATGTCATGTATTTGTTCTACCCAGCCACTAAAGCAGGTGAGTCCAATCTTCACCGTGAATTAACCTGTGCAGATTGGACTCACCTGGTTAATTGGCTGGGTAGATTAAATACATGACATGGAGATGACTTGTTGACTCCACATTGCCCATGTCTGTCACCTGGTGGCATTGAGCTGTAAAGCTCTGTGTTGTTTGCATAGTTAGTTAGTGCAAGAAGTTAGTTAGTCTTGACGCTTGCTATTTACTGAGCTAAGAGGAGCATGTAGATGTTGAATAGTAGGGGGCCCAGAATGGAGCCTTTAGGAACCTTGGATGTCATTCTTCTGGTCTCTGATTTAAAGTTCCCTACTTACACATAAAAGTCCCTGTCCTTCAGGCAGGATTCAAACCAGTCCAGTGAAGTACCAGAAAGGTCGACCCAGTTTTCTAGATGCAAAGCACTGTTTCCTTTGTGAACGAGCTTGCAGTCCAAGCCGACAAAGCAAACACTGGCAAAATTATCCTTTTTTTAACATTTGCAATAAATTACAACACCTATGACATTTAGATAACAATTCAAAAATCCACTGTAAAAGGGACATTAAAACGTCTTTTTGCTTTAAAACAAATGGGGCATCAGCTATCAATTATTTCTGGAATTGAATAATAAATATTTTGTTTTTTAATGACTGACTAGTCTAGAAAGAAATACCCTGAGCAATAAGCAAGTGTTTGAACTTAAAAAGCAAGACATTTGAGATACATTTTAAATGGCTAAAACATTAAGAAATTGATTAAATACAAGAAATGCCATGTGAAAAACTTTAGATACAATATTTTTATTTACATTCGAAATTCCTAGCAAAACATTTCTGACTGTTAATTTACATTTGCTTAAAAGTCTTATCTTTTATGCCTTACTCCCTTATTTTGGATATTACTTAAACTATTAATTCCTGAATATCAGCAGTGGTTTAAAAATACTAACAGCTCACTGTTCCCTAAAGATGCTTACCACATTTCATTACACAAAAATATTGTCTCTTTTTTTTCCTCTCTGACAGGTCAATGGAACAGAAGCAGACTATGAGTATGAGGAAATCACGCTGGAAAGGGTAAAAAAATGTTCCATGCACTTCATGCACCAAAGAAATTTTACTTTGAATTTTATAAAATGCTGCTGTCTTTCAAATTGTAATGAGTAGCAGACCTAACACATCAGTTCCTAATGTGTCTGACATAATGATGCACAAAACATTGAACATGTATCATAACCCTTGGACTTTTTCAAAGTTTGTTGCATATCATCCAGATGCTTTAATGTGTTTCCCTTTTTGTGTGAAAGAGCAACACGAGTGAACGCATGTACCTTTAAAGTGTGTGAGAAGGCTACATGGCTTTCAGTTTTTTTCTATTTAGAAATCTCAGTAATGTTGCATGCATTTGTATCAAGTCCTCCTTAATCGTATGCCGCTTAAATAAGATCTAGTGCAAAACCCTTTAGCACCTGTGTGTAGGTTCCAAAATATATTACCGTTTTTGGGGAGATCTCAAAAATTTGTTGTAAAGCATCAGCCAAAAAAAATGATCATAAAGGTCAAAGAACGCTTGACTAATCACGACTAGATGAAAATATCCAAAGCTTTAAACGTATCACTGTTCAATTCAAAACCCAAAAAACAGAGGAAAGCAAACAACTTAAACATATGTAATCATGACCTTCCACCCAGACACAGGCTGTCCAAGCAGAGCATTAATAAGACTTCCAGCAGAGATAGTTGGTATCTCTGAAGATACATAGCTCAGTTTGAAGAATTTGAAGCAGAAGATTATTGTTGTAAAAAAACATTTGGGGGAACCTGCTGTGGACTGAAGGACATATACAGTAATCTATATGTGTAGAAAACTATCAATAACTCCTTTTTTTTCTTTTATGATTGTTTTGTAAAATCTAAAGTGATCTCTCTGTTTGTAACATTTGAAATAATTAAGAAGTCAATTGGTAATACAAACTTTTGCAAGGACTCCTGTTTAGTCAGTCAAAATTTGGTAGATCTTGCTTCTGCCAAATCTCCCTTCTATTCAATCTCATCATTTGTTTTTCCTGTTTTTTTAGCTTTAGTGTTAGTCCATGTCCACAACTTGCTCCCCTGTCCTCTCCATTTCTTTTTTTCTAATCACCCACTTTCCTTTCACAGTCCTCTACGATTCCCCTTCCCTGATTATATTCCCTTTCTCTCATCCCCAAGGCGGTCTTTCTGTGTCTCACTTTGCCGTTCTATTCTCTTGTGACCTGGTTCTGTCTGCTTGACTGAAGCTGCTTTAAAGTCACCACGGACAAAGATGCAAACACAGCAGCAGCAGATATTAAACTAGATCTAAATCCATGACAGGGCATGGGTAAAAGAATGCCTGCCAGCAGCTAAGGTTTCAAGCATGTAATATAATTTAAAATAACTTAAATGTTCTGGTTTTGTTACATTATTAAATTAATAAGAAAAATCAAAATATTACACCTAGTTATATATTTATTTACACAGTAGATGTTTTCAAGTTATATTAAGATTCATGTTGATTATAGTTTTATTCAGGTTCCAATGAGAGTATGAGGTTTTGGCAGCAAGACGTTATAATCCGTATACAAATTATTTCATTATAACAACATCATAGGTGTACTGTGATGTCTTTTATAATAATAAACATCATGAGTATATTATATTTAAAAAGGTCCTGTTTAAAACATTATAATTTCTGATTTTTTTCTTTCCAATTTAAATGCAAACCAATATTTATTCGATGCATTGCAGCTCGCCTGTTTCCATCTCTCCTCAGTACTGTTTTAGCTGCCATCTTTTATGTTGTAATGTGGCTTTAAGCATGACTATTATGAAGGTGACCTGCCCTGTTGATATTATATTCAGTTGTCTTCTAATGTTCTTTCATTAAATGTTTCTTAGGCAGGATAGGCTTGATTTTTTTCCACTATTCTTCTCGACCACAAGCCTATGCTAAAGCAATCATCACACGAATCTACCAAGAGGGTTTACCAGCAATACCAGCAATCTTGTAAATATCCAAGGTTTTGTGACGTGTGATAAAGTAAATTACAAGTCGGATTAGGAAGAGAAATAAAAACGACTGACGGGAAGAGAGAAATAGAACTACAAGGCTTCTTTTAATGAATGTTAGTAGGGAGAGCCCTGCTGTGTTCTCGGAGTGGATAATGTGTCTTTTATGTACAAAATATATGCAAGACCGGTATTTCACAAAAAGAAATGGCTTTATTCTTTCTTTTTAATGTATTTTTTCTCCCCTGTAGAGAAAGTATAAAACTGTGCATTATTACTCACATAAGGCTATAGTAAAAACTTTTCTCTCAGTGAAACATGAATATTCAGCCTATCTAAAATCAACAATAATTTAAATAGTGTTACAGATTATCATATCAATATTTCCTACATATAATGCTATCTTTTACATTTATATAGTTACATTGTTTTAACTTTAAAACATACTGTAGACTTAAGCCAAAATATGTATATTATTTAGGTAATTAGTTAGGCTACCTGCTGTATAAGCCAACAGTTAATCTGATTCTTAACAAATATTGACATTTTTGAACGGGGTAAACTTAATCCAGCATTTTTGGCCCTTTAGCTACCACAAGATAACTTTTTCTAAATTGAAACTTTTTAAAACAGGTAAACATATCTTTTTCTTGTGATTCTTTGGAAAGATTTGTTTGCCTATTATTCAGGTAACTGAACAGCAGAGAGAAATATTTTGGCAGCCACCATATGGATACCATCAAATAAGAAAGTATTTTAAACCAAAGTGGTGTTTAAAGGTGTTTTTTAAACTCTGCTATACATTGATGGATGTAACTGGCATAACATGATAATCCATATGAAAATGAAATGTTTTCAAATTTATATTAGACTTGAAAAAAAAACCTTACCAGAACTTTAGTTTGATTATCTTTCATTTTTCATTGGAAAATTATTTTTGTTAGGAATTACCGGCATTTTTTTCACATACTTTCTTTCTGTTTGTATGAGCAGGGTAACTCAGGCCTGGGCTTCAGTATTGCTGGTGGCACAGATAACCCCCACATTGGAGAAGACCCTTCAATCTTCATAACCAAGATAATCCCAGGAGGAGCTGCAGCGCAGAATGGACGACTCAGGTATAAGCAATTTTTTTTTTTTTTTTTACAATGTCTTAAATTCAGATTTCTGTTCACACAAAGCTGATGTACTTTGAATAGTGTTTGAAATCATATATGTTGCTTTTGATTTTAGAATATTTCCTCAAGGATGTGTGATTATGTAGCACCATCATTTACATAGATATATATATATATATTTTATAACAAGAACAAGAATTAAGATAAACAGCTATTATTTTTTGTAATTTGAAGCTGAAAAAAAAGCCAAAGAAAATTTAGAATCTTTAAAAAAAAAAACTATCGGTTAAATAAATACTAAAACTACAATTAGGAGAAGATATGTGGAGAAGTAAAAGCAGATATACCCCAGATGCACACTTCTTTTACTTCAATTGAAATTCTTAACGTCTAGCACATTTTATAATGAATATTAATATGCAATACCAACATTTGCAGCTGTACTGAATTACCCTTTAAGGTGTCTTTCACCTTAAATACATTTTCATCAGTTGCATAATAGTTACATGTTTTTGTTGTTATATGCACTTACTTACCTTTTTTAGATCAGGGTAAGTGGCTGTAGATGGCTTTTTATTTATATCCCTTTTAGCCTTTTTAAAGGTTGACACATATCTGCCTTACTTTAATGACAGATCTTCCTCTCCTTCCCATTTTGAAAGATGGCTAATAGATATAGACACCTGTGTTACATCACTTGTATCCCCTAAGAATTTTTTTTTGTATCAATAAATATTAATTTGAAAATGTAAGGTATGAATTAAAACAAAGGATCTTCAGTTCCTCTTAAATTATTGCTAACTGAAGCCAGAGAATTTTATTAAATAAAGAAATAGCTCATAATGCAGGATATCAGTTGTGATGCTCATATAGCAATTATTGTATCAAAGCTTTCCAATAATTGTGAGATAATGCTGAGAAAAATGATTTCAGTGCTTTGCCTTACATAGTCTATATTACTGCTGTGCAGGGTGAATGACTGTATAGTCCGAGTGAATGACACGGATGTCAGGGAGGTGACACACAGCGGAGCAGTGGAGGCACTCAAGGAGGCAGGAGGACTGGTCCGATTGTGTATACGACGCAGGAGGAGCCTCGCTGAAAGAATCATGGATATTAAACTGGTCAAAGGACCCAAAGGTGAGACTTTGCCATAAACACAATTATCACTGAAGTGCTGTACATCATTTTAACTTAAACATACAGTTTTTGATTTGAAAATAACGACAAAAAGATAGGTTAAGCATGAGATAAATACAAATAAATCTGTTTGGTTTTTTTTTAGTTCTGAAACAAAGTTTTCTCTTAAATCATATGAGTTGAAACTTGAAATCATTTGTTGAAATTATTCAGCTTGGGAAGCAGAAAACTAACCGATAAGTTAAAACAATTCATGAAACACCTTAAAACAATAATTTAACATAGATTTATGAATGTGCTAGTTCTTAAAATTTGTTAAAAGTTTCTGCAAGATTAATACATTTGTCAATTATAAAAAAAGATTTAAAATGTCATAAATATTACCTTTATATGTTGTTTTATTTTATTTTATTTTATTTTATTTTAGGTTTAGGATTCAGCATAGCAGGGGGTGTTGGAAACCAACACGTTCCAGGTGACAACAGCATCTATGTGACTAAAATCATTGAGGGAGGAGCTGCACACAAAGATGGACGGTTACAAATAGGAGATAAACTTATTGCTGTAAGAAACCCTTTTATGTGTTCTTTATGATATCTCTGATTCTGGCTCATATATTTGGTTTTGCAGAGGCCATATCCATCCCGACATTTTTTACACTTTTTAAATGTAGCACCTCTGCACTGTTTCTGAAGTAAAAATACAAAACTTGATATTTCTACAACCAAATCTTTTCTTTTTTATCAAGGTAAATGCTTCTTGTTTGGAGGAGGTAACTCATGAAGATGCAGTTGCAGCACTAAAGTCCACTCCGGATGTAGTGTACCTCCGCGTTGCTAAACACAGCTCCCTTTTCATCAATGACAACTTCCCTCCACCTGATGTCACTAACTGTGAGTACAAACTTAACATAGTTTTTATGAAGTTTACTACAGTAAAGTTATCTGTCAGCAGAAAACCAGTTTTTGAATGCAGGTTTAACAGTATCACTGATATCTTTGGCATCAATATAATGTTAAGATTTAAATAAACTTAAATGTTGTTTATAGTTTAAATCAATCTATCTATCTATCTATCTATCTATCTATCTATCTATCTATCCATCCATCCATCCATCCATCCATCCATCCATCCATCCATCCATCCATCCATCCATCCATCCATCCATCCATCCATCCATCCATCCATCCATCCATCCATCCATCCATCCATCCATCAATCCATCCATCCATTCATCCATCCATAACTGATTTTGTCTTGTGTTTAGCTTGTCTCTGAACACAGACTATGCTATTCAGCTTGGTTTACAGATTTTAGTCAAGGCCATTTCAGAAGCCGAATTTTAGATCAACCATTGCTCCAATGACATGTTGCAATATATCATGTAACTCTAGTTAAAACCTTTGGGTGCACAGTGGCACAGTTTTTACCACTGCTGCCTTGCAGCAAGAGGGTAATGGGTTTGCATGTTCTTTGTGTGCATTTGTAGTTTTTTTTGTGTGTGTGTTGCAGTCCCATCCCATGGTTAAAAAGCATATGTTCATGGATAATTGGTGATTTCAAATGGCCTTTGGGTGTGTGTGTGTGTATGTTTCTGCCTTTATACTTCTTATGATTCACTCTGTGTAGCCCAGTGATGGTTTCCAGGATGTACCATGTCTCCCACTGCTTCACCACTAGGAATAGACTCAGTTTCACCAAAACTCCTGTAAGGATTAAGTGAATGTAAAAAATACCTTTACAGGTTTCAAAAAAATCACTAACATACATTAAAGCTAATTTCTGCAATAAATTAGGCATGCTAACATTGAACTTAATGGTTCCTACCAAAACCCCATCGTAAATATACTGCTCAAAAAAGTAAAGGGAACACAAAACTAATACATCTTTGATCTGATTGAATGAAATATTCTCATTGAATATTTTGCTCTGTACCAAGATTAATTTGTTGACAACAAAATCCCACAAAAATCATCAATGGAAAATTCAACTCAGTTTATTCATATAGCACCAAATTCACAACACATGTCATCTCAAGGCACTTTACAGTTCAACCAATCAAATGTACACTGCAAAAATGATCTAAAAATGAATAAAAAAGTCTAAAAGTAAGTGTATTTACCCTTAATTTGAGTAGGTAAATAAGATAATTTGCCAATGGAATGAGTATTTTAACTCTTAAAATAAGATAAATAGATATTATACACTTGAAATAAGACAATACAATAGTTTTTTTCTTATTTTAAATGTAAATTGTCTTGTTCCATTGGCAAAGTGTCTCACTTACCTACTAAATTCAAGAAAAAATGCACTTAATTTATGAAAAAATGACTTATTGAGATTTACATTTTTTGCAGTGTATTAACCAGTGGAGGCCTGGATTCAGAGTCATTAACAAAATTTAAGTGGAAAAACAAACTACAGGCTGATCCATCTTTGATTTAATGTCCTTAAAACTGGTCAAAGTGAGGCTCAGTATTGTGTGTGCCCTCCGTATGCTTGTATGGGCTCCTGCCTCATGCCTGGTCATGCTCCTGATTGTGATCTCCTCCCAGAAAGCATCCACCAACTCTGAGACAGTCTGTGGTTTATCATGAACTTGGCGGATGTATTGAGACATGATGTACCAGATGTGCTAAATTGGATACAGGTCTGGGGAACAAGCAGGCCAGTACATAGCTTCAATGCCTTCATCTTGCAAGAACTGCTGACACACTCCAACCACATCAAGTCTAGCATTGTCCTTTAGCAGGAACCCAGGGCCAACCACACCAGCATATGCTCTAAAAAGGTTTAGTTGGATATCTATCAAGAATTATACAAGATGTTTTTTGATTTTTTACAAAAACTATCTAGATTATCTGCAACATTCCAAATTATATAATTCTAAATATTTTGGCTGTATGTCTATCGAAATGTCAAGTGACAATCCCAATGAATTTAGATTTGTGATTCTCATATTCTCATATTAGATTTTTGTTGAAGTTTGTTGTGTGTGGAATGTTTCGCAAAGAAGCCGAAGCTCCTTATGATTTACTGTGTGCCAGAGTACACATGTTTAAAAGAAAACACACAATTAAGAAGAATTCAGACCAAGTTATGGAAAAGTAAAACAATTAAAGAGAAGAAGGGCCAAAAGTACTGCAGATATTTACTCCTACATATGAAGAAAATTTTTATATAATATTTTAGGATTTGAATTCACTCAATAATTGTCTATCAACAGTATACAGAGTGTAATCATTAGAGAAGGATGCGGTTAAAATAGCTTTAAAATCTGAACACTGTGCTATTCAAATAGGATTTCTGATCTCTTAAAAGTAGTTAATAAGCTTACTGTATGTAAAAAGAAAAAAGAAAAAAAAAGAAATAACATTTTGGACCAAAATTATTAGGACTACCTTTCTAGAATACATAAAAAAAAAATCTTTGACCCAAATAAATTAAAACTGATCACAGATGGATACTTTCTAGAAATCTTTCATGACGGGTCAGATATGTTTTACAACCTGTCAAATGTGCCTTTCTTATGATGAGAGCTAACTATCACCTCAAATCTTATATAATGTAAACTTTTAAGAATAATTCTTTACTCAAAATCCCAGTAAATTTAATCAATGTCTGACTATTATGACTCATTTATCTTATTGCATTACAGTATACATTTTAGGACATCCTCAGGTCTCAGGAAAAACAGCTATGAGTTCTTAGGAGTAAAAAAAGTTGAAAAAACTGGGATTAAAATTTGTTCTGTTGTTGTTTCTAATAACAGAAATACATTTGAGGATTTTAGGCAGAAATTGTAGCTTTGGTCACTTAAATATCTCAGAATCAGAAATACTTTAATAATCCCAGAGGGAAATTACTTTTGTTACACGCTCTAGTTACAGTTTTACATGACATATACACACATCCAAATATCTACCCAGTTGGTCAAGATATTGAATAAAGCCATTTTGTTTAGACCTCATAATTTAATTCTTCGGATTTGAGAATATGCTAAAATGTATTACTAAGTGTTCAATCTTTTTTTAAATTGATGAACAGTATACTGTCAGTACACTGTTTGACACTTATACTGTGTCAAACAGTGTCTTTAAAGATGAAAGGGTTTGTTGAACTCATTGATGGCTTTGAGCAGGTTCATCTAGCTTTATGACATATTTGCAAGGCATGCTCTCATATGTTTTCATTTTAAAGAAGATCTCAATGAAATCTGTGTCTGTGTTACATTATATTTATCCATAGGGAAAGATAAAAAAAAAAAACATTATTTGGCACCCTTCACCTCCACTACAGTTTTCTCCGTTATCTAAACCATGGCCCCTTTTTTGTTTTAGATGTACAGAAAATAGGGAAGTATAAATGAAGATATCTTTCACTACCATTTATTTTGTAACTTTAAGAATTGCTACTATTTATACCAATGCTATAATCCTTTTTGATTTTAATGTACAAATAGCATTATTACAGTTAAAATCTCCAAACACAAATTATATCTTTCAATTTGTTTTTAGTACCTTTATGCAACTTTTATTCCCTTTCAATGCTAATGGGGACCGTAGAATAAAGATAACGCTCAACCTAAAATCTTACAAAATTAAGAAACCTAAGAAATAAGTAGGACAATCCATTTAAAAGGGTCTGAAACATGCTTTCCTAAATAATAATATTATGTTTTCGTAAACCTGTTTAGTTTACAAAAACCTGAGTATACATTTTGTTTTTAAACAAAGATCACATCTAACAGTCAGTTCAATTTTAATGTGACGTAACTACTTCTGCTTGTCTTATACTTTTCATTTTTGAAATGTTAATTTTCAAAGCAATTTTATATTTTGTATTTTTTAACTTAAAATTTTTGCTAAGCTCTGAAATTATGATACAGTCATTATGTTAATAAATGTACAGTTCTATCACACTAAACCTGTATTTGTGTCCCAGCAGCATATTCCCCACATCAGGACAACCATGTAAGTCCTTACATGAGTGGGAGCCAGTCTGTAAGTCCAGCCCCACTGACCACACCAAGATACTCACCTCTGACCAGGAGCCTGACGGCAGACGAAGATGTTCCCAGGTGAGAGAGAGCATATATTCAGAATCACATCAATTCAGGTTTTCCTTTATATCTTTTTGTTTCTGGTTTGTGTATTGTTCTTCTCAGAGACCGATGTTGACCCAATGACTTTTTTTTTATCAAGGTATTATTTTTGATTTAAACTGAGTGACTTCTTTGGTCCTTTTGCCACTCTGCAGCTGCTTGTGTATGTTGTTCTCACTGAAAGGCAGATGGATCAGTGAATTTTTGTCTAGCGTGTAAACTTGGGTCACATATGTGCTAATGCACATCCAGTCTCTTACCCACAAACACATTCAGATATCCTCCCAGCACTGCTTCGCTGTCTTTAATCCATTTTAATGGAGGGATTAAAGCCCATTGCAGCCCCCGTCACTCGCCTGGCATCACCGTGGTTACCAGAAAAGGACTCATTTCGTCACAAACCTTTAGGCCAATGAGTGAGCTTTGACAATAATAAATCTGATAAGACCCAGGCTGGACGCAGGATGGTCATTTTGACGTCTGGCCTTCTTTTTTCTCCAGATACTATGTTTTTCCAGTATTGACTGATATTAGAAAAATAAGGCCTCTCTTTATTTGCTTTTTTTCATCAAATCTTTTTTTCACCTGCATACCTAGTATTTATTTTGATATAATATTTTCTAGAATAAAGAATTCTAACTACTCTATCATTTGATGTCCACTAAAACCCCTAAAATACTTTCACTTTCCATGTTAGATATTTGCCTTTGTCTTTGCAAAGATGCTGTGGTTGAAATCCAAGTTAAAGGTTGGACTAACACTGATACTGGGGAAGTAAAGCACCTGACTCAGGTAGACATGAATAAGTTCAATCAGCGAAACCAAAAGGGTTAAGAAACAAACGGTACAAGATATTTACCAAAAATATTCTTTAACATCTGGTATAATATCAACTATATTAATTCAATTACAGTATATTTACTTTCTGTATTTTTTTATTATTTAATGTGTCATTTACACTGATTGCTTAAAGAATAATCATAAAAACATAAACAATGGAAGACTAGACTAAAAGTGTGTGTTGAGTGCAATGGTTATCTGTTGGAGTTCACTCAAATGTTGTTGCTACAAAACTGAGGAAGTGTTACCCTGACATCTACTGGTGAACATAATGAATAACGTCAAAAAGAAATACTTCCTCCACCTAAAAGAAAAATATATCACCTTGACATATTTTTAGTCCTCTGGAATGCTGCTACTGCTTAGTAATGTAGAAGAATTCCAGTGGGGGTTTTTCAATGACCCTTTGAAATATATCATCTAACATCTCTTACATCTTCGCTGTATGATTTGTGTTGCTTACAGGGAACCCAGGCGAGTTGTTCTACAAAGGGGTTCTACGGGTCTTGGCTTTAACATTGTTGGAGGGGAAGATGGAGAGGGGATCTTCATCTCTTTCATACTGGCTGGAGGTCCAGCTGATCTCTGTGGAGAGCTAAGAAAAGGAGACCGCATCCTGTCGGTATGAGCTAAGAGCTCTCTGTGGATTCTTATTGCCACAATTATAATTATTAATTGTACAATTTTACTTTTATTATATTTGAGTTCACATGCAGCATCTCTAAAGGGACTTGTTTTGACAATTTATCCTTCTTAATACCTCTTTTATATTGTTATACTGCATGTTTATAGTAATAATTTGTCATAAAACTTCTTAAAATGTCTAGTTAATATGACCATTTTAAACTTAAAGGATTTCTTATTGAATTTACTCTCAATATCTACAGAAATCTGAAAATTTCAGTTAATGATTTTAGTTATGTGCTGCTTGTTACAGTTACCCAGCAGCTTGTTTGGCTGACAATGGTTGTGTGTGTGGTGAGAGGCTGCCTTGCTTGTTTGTTGAAGCCATATTTCATGATGTGTGGGTGTTAAAGCTGCATGTTGTGCTAGACTCAAATGAAAAATGGTTTTAATTTCCTTAAGAAGGGATTCAAGATGAGTATAATCCCCAGGCTGCAGAGGTGCTTAATATCCCTGCAGAATTATGGTATTATTTATTCAAGCAAGTGCAGTCAAGAGAATGATTTTGATGCATTAAACAGGGCTTAACAAAAAACATGCATGTTATATTAGTAAGAGCTGCTGACCCACTAGGATGCACTTTGAAGATTAGGATCTGTTAGGATGAGGGCTAAAACTATATATATTTGTATGTGCAGGTGAACGGCGTGGACCTTTCCATTGCAACACATGAGCAGGCAGCTGCAGCTCTAAAGAATGCTGGACAAACGGTTACTATCGTAGCTCAGTATAGACCTGATGGTAAGTAGAAAAAACTGGGCTTTTGGGTTAGTTTTTGGCAAAGGAGAGTCAAACACCTCATAGTAATGTCATAGTTGTGTCTCCTCTTGTTTTTTCCCTCAGGTTATCTTGAAGTATAAACTTGACAAGTTGCATTTTATTGTGAAAATTCCTTAGCAAAACATTTAGTTGAAAATGAGGTATGTTTTACAGAGTAAAAGTAAAGAAAATAGTTGATCATTTTACTTTCCATTAAACACAAATTAAGATGTGAAAATCATGTAAGATCTAATTTTTGAAATTTAAAGGGGTCATAGAATGCAAAACCGAGTTTACAGTGTCATAGATGAATAGCGATAGTTCGGTGGGTGAAATGGACGTACATAGAAGTTCAAACCCCATCGACACCTCCTTCTCTGCAAATCTCACAATTCTAAACTTCCGCCATAAAACAGGTGAATCCAAAAGAACCACGGAATTGACGTAAATTCAGGGATGTTGCCTTATTTGTTTCTGGCCTGTACTTTTGTCACGCCCTGAAATTGACATGAATACAGGTAGATGTAAGACACCAGTTTAGCTGTTTAGCCTACAGCTGGGTTTACTTCTACAAGAATTACAAAGCAGGCAGTTTCTCTATTGAAAATTAGCCAGAACCATGGGGGTAAATGCAGTATGCCAGGCTGCACGGAGAAAGGGGAACATTTTCAACAGTCTTCCCAATTATTAAAAGACTCGATAGGCATGGATTATTCTTGCATATCAGAAGATCCCTGCAAAGTTTGATGCTCAGCTTTTCATTTGCTCTAAGCATTTTACCGAAGACAGCTTTCAAAATCTGGACAGTTCAAAGCAGGATTTGCTAAATTTCTTTTTTTGAAAAGAGGGGCTGTTCTGACCGTAAGTCCATCACAACCGGAAGCTCTAAGTAATATTTTGTCGATAAGCTGTTGATAGCAGTGCTAGCATATCTAGGGTGACCAGATCTGGGTTTCCGAAAAGGAGAACACTTTTTTGGGCAGCCTTTTTTCATTGGACCGGACCGGGCATTCAAACTTCTCCGGGGCTGGTCCCGGGACAGAGCCAGCTGGGGTCGGAGCGACCGAACTCGACCCGGTGATGGTAGCCGCGGCCCCATGCTTCCCCCCGCCTGCCTTACTGGCTTGGTTCTTCTGCACTGTAGTCAACCAAAATCCCGGACGATTGTGAAATTCCCCGGACATTTTTTTAGGTATGAAAAGTAGGACATGTAAAAGAGGACATCTGGTCACCCTACCAAATCAACAATTTGATGTTTCAGTGAGTGACTGCTTGTTTCTATGATGCGTCTTAGCTCAGCAGCTTCACACGTAAACCAACCAATCAGCACACAGCTCATCTAAATATTCATGAGCATACCATGAAAGGAAGAAAACCTGTTGTTTCATTCTAGGGCTTTTAACCAGGCTTACATTAGGGCTCATAGAACAGCAAATATGCCATTTTTAGCCCAACCAACATTATAGACCCTATTCAGAGACCTTAAGAACAGCACCAAATACCCTATATAATCATTCTCTGACCCCTTTCAAAGTGGGACTTTGAAATTTCCATTTACTTCACTAATATCACTAATAGCACCTAAAACAATTTCCTTTCCAAGCTTATATGGTTTGGTTTAGATGTCTGAAACCTGAACATAAGATGGTGTTCCAGTAGGACTCATTTTGGCTTCTGAAGGAACCCTTCTAAATTCTCTACCTCAATCTTTTTGACATTTAAATTAACTTCACTAATCTTAGCATGCCAGGTGTGCCATAAGCTTGTATATGCCTAAGAAAATATGTGGTGGAGGTGCAGCTGAGAACCAGTAATGCATATTTTATTTGGGATGTGAATATTTAACCCTGTATGAACCAGAGCAGAACGGTAACTCTGAGCACAGCTCACAAGGTGAATCTCACAATCTGATCAATTGTAAGATCTAAATTTACCTTCAGTAGAGACCATTAAAGCAGTTCTAAACACATTATGTTTTGGTAGATTTTTCCTCCCCTTAGTGGAAAAAAGCTGTACTGCTCAGGCTGAAGGACTACAGCATTTCCCATGAGCACCGGGGCATTGAATTGAACTGCATTTCTTTTTCCAGTTGCTGTGTCAAAAATGAATATTGATGAGGTAATGAATCTAACTGTGGTGAAACAATCTCTTTTGATGTTGAAAATAAGAACGTTTAACTTTGATTTTGTACATTATTACTGCACCGCTACCCCCTGCTAGAATGTTTCTTTTGGAGGGAAATTTGTGATTTATTTTTGACATAATATTGAGATATTAAGCAAGATTAGTTGTTAATTGTTGCAGAAAACAGCCATCTTAACAATCTTGGGTTTTACTGGTTCTTTTTTTTTCTGAAGTTATATAGATGATTATTATATTTGTTATCATGATCAGTCAATTTATATTTTGTATATTTTATTATCCTTTAGAAACATGTAACAAGGAACAAGTCTTTTTACGTTGTTAATTTAAAATATGAAAATTAAAATTGAAATACAAAGGAATTTCTATTTTAAGAGTCAAAAAGGAATAAGTGAAATTAAAAAAATTATTTGAGTTTTGTTTTCTGTTTCGATTAACAGAAAAATTTAATTAGTTTGAAAGAGATACAAACAGGGGACAGTTTTCTTTCGTTTTGGTGTTCTTTTTTGTTTTTCTAAGACCAGATGCAGTCTCTTATTTTACGTGAGCACCATATTTGACAGAGTGTAGGTATCACTGAAATAAAGCAGCAATGGCATGATGTGAAAGTCTGTACTCTTATGAAGGTACAAAATCTGGTATCAAAAAATAAGCAAAACAAGCCTTTCATTTCTGTTTTAAGTTAATAACAAACAAAAAAATGTATCAAAATAAAATCAAACATAAATGGAGACAATCCCATTATTGAAAATACCTTAATGTTAACTTTGAACCCCCTTTATTATATGTAGTTTTCTGCTGTTTGACTTAGTTAAGGCACAGTGAGTTTCTTTGATAATTTGTTATATATTGAAAAAATGGAATCTATAAATATCTGATAATTGCATTAATATTATGTATGAGTTTTGCAGTTTATAGTCAGTGACACTGCAATCATTATATTTCTGCATAGCTGTAGAGTAAAAATAGAGATGTGAACAGTAGTCTAAACAGATGGCTCAATTGCTGATTACAGGGAGAATATTATTTGCTTTTAGTGTAAAATCTGCTCCAAATGTTCCATATTAAAGGAATAGTCACAAACTGTAACACTGGTTCTAAGCCTTATCCTGCACAGGAGTAGAGATTTCCTATAAAAAATTGTGATGGATAACATCTAAAAGGGAGAACTTGGATGATATTTACAATAGGCATACTGTTCATTATAATGCTTCCCCTCCCTCCAGAAATCTTAAAGTTGGTTCATAGCTGTTGTTCGTTAAACCCAGTTACAAGGCAGCAATGGTGAACATGATGGTAACCATGACTTTTATAACAACGCAATATTGCTTTTGAAAGGAATACAAGTGCAACCCTCAGAATTTCATCTGAGTCACTAGCAACTGCTGTGGTGTGTTAAAGAGGATCAGCACCACGGAGAGTGCTTTAAGCTCTTAAACAGTAAAAAAGAAAGCCTCTACGAAACATACAAATTGCCCAGAGTTCTGTGCTCACAAGGGAACTTGAAAGTCTTTCAGTTTGATCAGTGACAAAAACATATTCCAAAACATGAATCAAAATCAATAAAATGTAAATTTCTTTATTATGTGATACTAAATGCATTTAGTATTTATAGTATTTATGCAACTACTAAATTACTAAATGATTAAATGAATATACAGTATATCTGTGTAGGAATAGGAAACTACATTGGGTAAAACTCCTTATGCAAACTGATTCAGGATTCATAAGGCTTAGATCTGATTTTAAATCTGTCACCCTGTGCATGCATATAACACATTCTTTATTACCCACTCTGGCTTCGAGCACCGGATATACTGCTAGCCATTTTGCATCAGAAGATGCATAGTTCTGGTGTCATAACATTAGTTACATTGTTTTGGACTTGTTGTAGTGCATGTGGTTCAACCATTCAGTGAAATATAATTGAGGTGGCCAAATGATTGTCAGAAGCCATATATTTAAAAAAAATTAAGCCATAACGGATAAACAGAGCAAATATATTAGCTTTTCATGGCTATATTTTTGCCTACAATCACTCCAAAAATGTCTTTTGTATCTCTGAAAGGGATTTCTGAAAATTCATTCACTACTGATGACCATTACTAATCGATGAGTCACAGTAAATCACGATAGGATGCTCAAGGGAGCTGAGGGTATACTGCCCGCTGCAGCCACCTTCGTCATCTGCATGTGATTTAAATTATCTGTAAACCTCTGCCCCTGCCTTTTTCCATGTGTCACAGTCTCTGTGCATGCTTCTTTGTCCTGGTCCCCAAATGTAATATGATGTTGTTGACAGTGTTTCTGGATGCTTGATCGATTGTTGTCTTCTGTCCTGTTTATTATGGCTTGTAGTCTAAAACTGAATTGTCCTACGGGGATAAATAAAGTTGTTGGATTTTATTAGATTTACAAAGAATTAAATAAGAAGACATGCAACAATGTTTATATTAAGCGACAGTATGTCTGCGTCGTGACACTCCTACAGACTTTGTTAGTGACTGTCCAATGAACTCTGCATCAAACCTTCTGTCCATGCTGGGCTTTGGTCAGTGCCTGACTTGCATTTGTTCCATGTTTGTCCCATTCCCATGGTGGTCCCATGCAGCTCTCCCTCTGTTTCACAAGTAGCAGTTGCCAAAGAGAGAGGAGCTCATAACAACCTTGAGCTGCAGGAGAGGAAAAGTGTCTGTGGGTTTTGGTCTCCCCCTGTTGTTTGTTTTAAATATGGAACTGTAGCCAAACACAAGACAGCACAACACTGCACTGAAAGTGGTATATAGTGTGTGTGTATTGTATAGAGAGAGAGAGAGAGAGAGAGAGAGAGAGAGAGAGAG